TCAGTTGGATTGAAAAAAATACATAAAAGACAGCAGAAAATGCATCTATTTAGACACATCATGGGTCTTACAAAAACACCAAAAGTTCTAACATCTGACTGGTGCTATAACACCTTTAAAGAGTAGTGGGAGTAATGTTACTCGCCTATTAAAATTATTGTTTTGAAACAAATGAATTACAGCTGTGTACCAATTTAAATTCAGTTCCAAATGTGTATGCAGAGTGCATCCAACAATAAAGTCAGGATGATGCTTCTTTTATACAGTGATAGGAAAGAAAGGAGCACACAGAAAGCTCCAATTTCACATCCTGCTCCATTTTGCTATAGACATGCACACTCACCAATGACTCTTGGGTGGACTTGAAGAAGTTAAAGGGGACAAAGACAAAGCCTCTACATCCTTCTGGCAAGACTTTAGGATTAAAAACATGGATGGGATGGATTACTGACAGGCCTGTGGGGGCAGTGCCCAGTGGCCTTTGGCTGTCAGGGGCCTTGGGGACCTTAATGGGCCTCCCACAAGGCCTATGGTGGCTCAAAGCCTGGGAACAGCACACTTCAGATGCAGGACTTAGACATACAGATAGGCCTTGAAAATATGTAATGACTAAGGCCCATCAGCCCATCCCCTACCACTATATTTAACATTATTAAAAGCCTCATGAAATAAATGCTGATTGCACAGTAACTGAAAGTTAATCATTTTGTTAACATTATGTGTTTCCAATGCTGGTCAAAGTGTACATAAACATACATGAGCTGTTTGTTATTTTTTGCTATTTTTGTTATTTTTTGTATTATTGTCAGACTGTGGGGATGGGCAGGGACTTCCAAAGATGCTGGTTCCCAGGGCCTTGTTAGATCATGATCTGTCCCTGTTTAAAAGGGTTAAAGAACACAAAGACGTTTCTGAATGTTTTGCTGAATAGATATTAGGAAAGGTAGGGTTAAATCAAAATGGGCATAAGACACATTATGTTTTAACCTAAGCTCCTCCATGTAGTAAAACTGCAACAATAGCTACTCTTTATGATAAGGCTGGCACTGAGTAACCTAATATCAGCTGCTCACTCATTCTAAGAACACATGGAAATTTCTTAATAATTTATGATGGTTCATCAAGCAGAAAGCCAGTGGAGATAGGGAAAAGACCACACACTGTGTGGTCTGCTGGAAATGCCTGTAATTGCATTTCATACTTTTCCAAAACCACTAAGTAGGTACGGAGAGATTTGCCTGTTAACTGTAGTGTATTGTTTACATGCAGCAAATATGAGAATTAATAGTGGTTGGTTTTATCGTCTTGACTGATATCTGCATGCTTTCACACAACTCAGCCATGCTACCACACACCATTAAGAGCAGTGTGTGGGACTTTAACAGTTTTCCAGTGAGTTGGCGTCAGAAAAGACAATGCAGTAAACAGTTGCCAGCCTTTAAACCTTGCTGTTGCTGCCAGCCATCAACAGAAAATAGGGAAACATTCTTCCAGTTGCAGCCTGAGCTAATGCCACTCATATGATGTCTGTAACAGATATTAAGATGGGTGATATGACAGCTTCAAAGGGCAGCAGTGAGTAAAGTTACATACCTATTATAGGCAAGTAACCTATAAACAATGGGCCTGATTATTTGACCTGAACAAACAATGTAGGATCATGATGCCTGAAAACATTCTTGATATATAATGTCATGATATTCATTTTTTCAATGATGTTAATACATAGGTTCCAAATATAAACGATTAAAGAAGGGACTCAAAAAATGAACTAGAAAATTATATTAGTTTTAAAGGTGTGTATGGCCAGGATTTTAAAATACTTAACCCAATCTTTTCACAGTAAAATACTGTGTTCGTAACCGTCTTGAAAATTCAACTTATTTGAAGTTATTTTCTGTAATAATGCTAAATTTGTAGTTGAGCTGTCTCTCATTATGGGGCGGGATATGCAGCATTATGGGATATGACAGCAAGATGTAAACAATTTAATACAAAACATTTTAAGTCTTTTTATTCTGGTAATTCATGTTTTCGAGTTTTAAAGGCTTTAAAAGTTTTACCCCGTAGAATAAATATGATCATAGATATTGATAACATCAGTCTTTGATTATTGATCTTTATGGTGAACAGAAATAATCACTGATATTGTTTTTCTGAAGAAACATATTTATATGGGACAATTAAAGGTCATGTTGTAAATGTACTTTAAATTACTAGGAACTGAGTTTTACTTTTACAGTAGTTGTATAAAAATACAGGAGATAACTGTTTTATTATGGTGTATTACTGTAAGTGTACTGCAGAATATAGCTATGTGCTAATAATATAGCTAATCTTGGGCTCCAAGTGACTTTGAGGTCAGCAAAGTTGCTATTTTACTGTTATTTACTGTTAATATGGTACAGTAAATTACAGTGAAGGTAATGCAACTAGTAGACAGTACTTTACTGTTATTTTACAGCGGATTTATTTTTTACAGTATATAGCTAAGACAATAGCATAAGCATAAGCATTAATGCTTACTGGAGAAATAATTGCTTTATATTATTACTATGTATGTAATATAAAATGTTCTACTGAAAAGCAATGTTTTTCATGTGATTGACACCACAAATGTCACAAAGAAAAGAAAATCGTCCAAAAAGACTTCCACTTCCACCTCCAGCAAAAGCCTGTCTTTGATTGGTCAGTAGCTTGCCCTGATTGGTCCAAGAGCTCATTTTATGAACCAAAAGCCTAAGCTCAACCTGCCCTGGTGCAGATCAGGTATACAGCATAAGTTGCCATGGTGATGAAGCCTTGTGATCCAATAGTGTGATACAGAAAATCTAGGCTTAGAATGAATTAAGCTTAAAGTTAGCTGGTTCATAAAACCTGGTTATTGCTGTTTATAATTGGTCTAAATGTGTCTTTATGATCCATTCAACTGTTCAGTGCTCTAGAAGTACTGACAATAGTAGTAGTAACAACATATGGCCTTATTTCCATTCTCTAATGGATGTGTTCACAGTTTTATCTTCCTGACTGTTTAGGAAAAGATGACCAAATAGAACATCTTAAATGTAAGCTGACAAAAGGCACCTATAATAACTGACCTGGAATTACTGCTAAATGACCTCCAACAACGTAATGACTAGTAATTTTACCTCTTTGGGCTTTTTTCTAGAGCATGAAATGAGCACCCAGTACACATTATTGTGCATACAGTAATCTTTTCCATGTGTCCAGGTTCTAATTTATCTTATTTAAGTGGACCAAACCATTGTAATGATTTGAATCATTCTGCTGTCGATGTCATTTCCTGGATTTTTTGTTGACGTTCTGCCCACAGCTGGGCTCAAGCTTTGAGCAGTGACTGTTCACGAGTCATGCTTAAGTGAGGGAAATGCTTTTCAGTTGAGTCCCATCGAACACCCTTCTGGAGAACAGCTTCCTCTCATGTGGAGTAAACTCTCAAAGCCCAGGCTCAGGAACAGACGCCACGCAAATGCTCTTAGTTCATTTAGCGAGCTGCTGGCAGACAGCCCCCAACTTCAATTATTCAAACCTCCTCTGTCTCAGTGAAGCACCATCCATCTCCACACTTAACCTTTAGCGTAGCAGTTGTCATCCTGAAGTCATTAGCACACTTGCATGCTAACCTCTGCCAAGAACTTGTGCCCATTAACCAGTACAAGTTGAGAGCTGTTACTGTCAATGTACAATACAATTCAAATGTAAGTACATAATTACATTAAGTTACATAGTAGTATACAGTATATTACATAATATGTTGCATTTGTATTCAAATTACATTCTGTCAACAGTTTCAAGTCTGACTTTTTTGTGTTTGCATGTCAAGAAATTACAAAAATGGCAGAAAATGTATAGAATGTTTTTCATTCTGCTATCAATTTAAACCGAATTGTACTTACATAAATGTGGTATTGTTGAATGTTTAATCTGCCTCTTTTACAGAACTCCTTCTCTACTTGTTTCTATGAGCTATGAGTGACAATTAATAGCAAACTACAACATGCTTTTGTTTTTGCTAGTGATAACTGTCTAAAGAGTAGGAACTTTTCTACACTATAATATTGAATTGAACAGCTTTCCACGTTCATACACACAGTTCTCCTTGACCGTGTCGACATTTGTATCACCTCTACTTGAGACATGTACACAGCGGAATCACAAAGATGCTAAAGATGCGTTCAAAATAGTTCTCCATCTGTTGCTCGCCACTCCAGTGTGCACTGAAGCCCCGTAGCTGCTTCCAAAATTAGCCACTCTCGCAACTACGCTAGGCTACAACTACTGGACTCTGGTTCATTGCCTGCTCGGTGAGCTTTTAGAGCTCACACTGTCCATGATGGAATCTGTGTGAAAGCAACAAGCAGAGGTGTTTGCGCCCACTCAACAAACCCACCAGGTCTCCTGGTGCTTTGAATTTGTAAGATGAGACCTCAGAAACAGACTAATCCCTGTTGCTCTACATCAATGTTAGATTTTTGCCAATGTAATCAGAGCTGAAGTCCAGCAGAAGCCTCCAAAAGAGACTAATCCATGGTTCTCTACAGCAGAGGTTGGATTTTCTTTAATGCATTTACAGCAGGAGGCTAGAAAAACCCTCCAAAAGAGACTAATCTGTGCCTCCTTATAGGAGATGACAGATTATGCCAACATAATCAAAGCAGACATTCAGAAGAAACCTCCAAAAGAGACCTATTCACGGTTCTCCATAGTATTTGGAAGGTTTTCTCCAATGTAATCTCAGCAGAGTTCTAGAAGAAACATCCAAAAGAGACGAGTTCATGGTTCTCTACAGCAGATGTCAGATTTCCTTCATAGTATTCAAAGTAGAAGTTCATGAGAAACCTCCAAAAGAGACTAATTCATGGTTCTAGTAGATGCCAGATGTTCCCGAAGTATTCACAGCAGCAGTCATTTTTGGCAATGTAATCAAATTATAAGTGTTACATGAAACAAACAATAGAGTAACAAAGCTGCAAACTTACCGCCAAAGCTTGTAGCCTCTCTTTGTGAAGTTCGGCCTCAGCCATCCTGGAAAGACAAAGGTAGACGTCTCAGACACACTGTCCCAGGGTGTGTGTGTTGGGGGGGCAGTAGATAAGGTATTGATGAAGACACACACACACTCACACACAGCTCAAATCCAGTAAGACTGTGTGCTGAGGACAAGTTCTTCTCATTCACTGGCCATGTGCCTGCCAGACTGCCTCTCTCTCTCTCTCTCTCTCTCTCTCTCCTCCCACCTCCCTCCCTCGCAGTCACAGGCCATGTATGTGCAGCAGGAGAGGCAGCTGGGAGGAGGGAAGGAGAGAGAGAGAGAGAGAGAGAGAGAGACTCCTGACGTTTCACACAGAGCTGCTAGGAGACAGGCAGAGCTGTCACTAAGGAGGAGGGAAAGGACAACACTGTCACACCTAGAAAGGGAGCGAAAGAGAGAGGCTGGGGAGAGTGTGTGCGAGAGAGAGAGATAGAAAGAGAGGAGAAGGAGAGAGAGATAAAATGGAGAGAGAGTGAGAGAGTGAACGAGAAGGAAATAGAGACTGAGAGAGATAGAGAGAAGACAGAGAGCATGACAGAGCAACAGATAGAGAGGAAAGAGATGAAGAGGAGAAAGATAGAGTGAGTGAGTGAGAGGGTGGGAGAGAGAAAACAAGAGAAATGGAAAAGAGAGAGCAAAAGAAAGAAAAGGACAGCAGCTGGGTTTCCTTTCGTGTGTCTTTATATATATTTTAATAGACCAAAAAAAAATGACTTGATGAGAAAAAAAATCTCAGAAATTTGTATAAAGGTTTGTACTTGAAGTGGATACAATTTTGCAGAAAAAAAAGAAATGCAAGAAATTAACACATACATTTATCTTATCAAAGGAAAAAACATGACATTGATCTTATATAGTAAACAGATCTAAGGGGCCTCCAGCTGATCTTGAGCTGTTTTATTGTCAGTGCTATTTTTGTGCTGTTATGATGTGAAATACAGCCAGCAATACAAACAAAACAGCAGAAGTTACCCAGCATTAAAAATTTTTAACTCCCTTTTATGTTTTCACAAACAGGACAGAGAGAGCTGAATTCATTTGTACTAAGCTGATGGAAATGCAGCCTAATTCACACAATGTTTTGCCACATTTCAGTTATTCACTTGATTTAACAGCTGCATGGAAGAACCTAACCTGGCTAGTGAGAGAGAGAGAGAGAGAGAGAGAGAGAGAGAGAGAGAGAGAGAGAGATGAGAGGGAGAATGAGAGGGAGAATGAGAGAGGTAAAGAGACAGAAATAGAGAGAGGGAAAACGTGAATAAGAAACAGAGAGAGAGAGAGAAGAGAGAGAAAGGGAGGGCAGGGGAGTCTGCTGGGAGGAAAAAGAGAGGTGTGTCTTACACCTGGGATATTCAAAGAGGAAAAAGCTGCTCTCTATTTTGTTCATCAGAATCAGCCATCTGATAAGAGCGCATTACTGTACAATACACAATACCTCCAGCTGTTACCTGTGAACAGATAAAAAGTGTCAGTAGACTGAAATGATATTTAGCTTTGGAAGTGACCTGTTTAAATTAGTACTCTTCCTTCCCTGTACTGCCATAATGACTTCATCAAGTCACAGTTCTCACTAGTGATAAATGTGTAAAAGTGTAATTGTACATAAATAATTTTTTCCTGAAACAAAGAGAAAATAATATATTAAAAAGCACAGATTCTAAAATGTCAGCTCATACCACATCTTTGTTTGTGGGTAGAAGAGGGGATATTTTATTATGACTGAATTTGATGAAAGGTTATTGTTGTGTGCTCTGCGGAAAGAAAACATCCTGTTTGTCCATGTTTTTCTCCTTTCTTCACAATGAAACAAATAGATGAAAGTTGAAAATGCAGACTTGAAGCTGTTGATGTGAAATACAGCCAGCAATCCAAACAAAACAGCAGAAGTTACCCAGCATTAAAGATTTTTTTATATATGTTCTATGTAATTACATATATAATAACATTTACGTATGTAAATAACAGGTCTGTAAGTTATGTAGTAATGAGAGGGAGGAAGTGATGCGTGGGCTCACATATGGAACCTTAGTGTTCTACAGACGTTAGTCCGTTATCCACTTTTACAGTAAATATGAACAGAAATGCTGCGCCATGGATTTCCCAGACGACTTTTAACAGCCTCAGAATGTTTGTTAACTCCCACTCTGTGCTACTGCTGCCGTGGAACAGAGGGGGGTCATGGGCAGAAGGAGCAGGGGGTCCTACTGGCCCCTTTCCCCCCATCCAACCTCCTCTTCCTACTCTCCCCCGGTGGAGGGATACAAAAAGTCCTTATATGGTGAAAAGGCTGAGCTAAGAGTGGCTGAGTCTGGAGTGCTGAGTGCGTGAGGAAAGCTCAGGGGAATAGACAGAAATGCACTGGACGGGATTCTGACATAAATGTATTGCGGTTCAGCAGGGGTTTTCTTCATATTCCAGCCAAAAGAAGAAGGACTGCCTTTTTACCCAGCATGTTATTCACAGGCCTAGTTTTATTAGTCATTTCCAGTGTTTATCATGCGTCTTTAGAGTCATGGCCCTAACCTCTGCACTTGTGTATGTGTATAATGACAATAAAATTTTGAACTGAAGAAGTCTGATAAGTGCATGCATACAATAGACTGTACACTGAAAACTGCTTTTACTTGATCAAATATCTGTCAATGGCACATAAATTAATGTATTACATCAACACAATTAGTGCTGAAAGCAAGTAAATAATGGCAACATTTTGTTGATCCATATAAGCGTTTTAATACATGTAAGTATTGTAATAATAATAGCTTTCCTGGTGTCACACCACATGACTTGGTAATATGAAGCAGCTGAACTACAATTCAAGAATGACCATTTTTTCTTTGTTAGTGAAAGAGCTATTGACCTTGGCATTACACCATGAAGGTCACTTGGGGTTTTCTTGTATGATGCAAAACCGGTCTGTCTTAAAAGCATGTAAGAAAAAAGTCCTTTATTGTCAGTTGTGCTGCTTAACATTTGAGGGAATCAGAATTTACAGGCAAAAGTTTTTCAATTAGTTAATTACTTTTACAGTTGCTCTATTTTCCCAGTAACTTCTGATTCCCTCAAATGTTATTGTGATTTTAAAGGCTTCAAATATAAAATCATGACTTTTTTATTTATAATTTGAGTAAAATACCATTTTAAATAGTTTACTTAATCTGCATATACGGTTGGGCAGCTGTGTCACTTGACATTTTTAGAATCTGGGAGGCATAAAGGCCTACAATACATTTTATTTTGGTGCACTGAACATGTATTCACAGAAAGGAGGCATTGTAAAATATTGTGATATATGTATTTATTCAATGATTTAATAGGAGAATTATGGACTTGGACACAAAACATGCTCGTCATGTCATTTACTCACAAACTACACCAGCAGGGCGTAACACAATTGCTGAGACACAACTGTCCAGTCAGCTTGGCTGTTGCTATGCCCACCATTGAGACAATAGAGATTGGTGTAGTGAGTTCACCTATGAATGTTTGCAAAAATCAAATAGAGGAGAAATAAAATAATGGTGACGTCAGAAAAATCACATTTGTTGAGCAAGAGTGGTTTTAATGTAATGCTGGCTATAATCACCCACTTTTATAAAGTATCTGTAATCTGATTACTGCCTTTTCCTGTAACTATACAGAACACAGTTACCCATTTTTTGGATCCTGATTTTGTAACACTGTTACATTCAGTGTGTTACTACTCAAGTCTCTTATCAGAACTAAGCTATACAAAGATAGATAAACATAAAGCTCATAATCAGCAAAGACAGTAAAATCCTTTTATGCCAGTGCAGATTCAGTTAATGCAGAGGTGATTCTGTATAGCATCCTCCAGCTACAAAACACTATTATGGTAATGACAGCTCGAGCACTTAATAACAAAGCACTCAATGGCAGTACTAGTGCCCCTCGAATATTTATTAGATTGATGTTACTCACCAGCAAGAGCTACTTCAAATAATAGTTGTTGTAGTTCAATAATAATGAACCGTAGTCAACAGCACGACTTCAAACTCTCAGGAACATTTAAGGGAACAACACTTATACATATCATACATGTAAAAGAGACAGTTTTGCATTTACTGCTTTTATAAAAGAGGAATCTTCATCTTGCTGTCAAGGGTCAACCGTTTATACATGTATTATCTTGCATATAGTCATTGAGCTCTCATAGTAATACCATGGCATTTTTCAACTTAATCTCTATCCAGTGTATGTGCAGCATAAAAACTTAATTCCAAAAAAGTTGGGACAGTAGGTAAATAAAACCAGAAAGTATGTAAATACTTTAATACTTAAATGAAAACAGCACATAAATCTATATTTAATATTTTACCTTATTATCTTCATTGATTTTTGATTCCTGCAACACATTCCAAAAAGTTGGGACAGGGTTGCAGTGTAAGACTGGGAAGTTTGTGGAATGACCAAAAACACTTGTTTATCTGAGATGGACTGATGAAACGTGGAAATGTGTGCTGTGGTCTGATGAGTCCACTTTAGAGATTGTTTCGGGAAATAATGGACATTGTCCTTTCCAGGCCAAAAGGAAAAGGACCATCACAAAAGTTACCAAAGCAAAGTTTTAAAGCCAGCATCTGTCATGGTATGTGGGTGTGTTGGTAGGTAACTTGTATTTCTGCGAAGGCATCATTAATGCTGAGGGGTACATACACATTTTGAGCAACATATGCTGCCATCTAGATGACGTCTTTTTCAGGCACGTCCCTGCTTGTTTCAGTAAGACAATGCCAAGCTACATTCTGCATGTCTTCTAACAGTATGGCTGTGTAGTGAGAGAGTGTGGGTGCTAGACTGGCCTGCCTTTAGTCCAGACCTGTCTCATATTAAAAACATGTGGTGCATTATGAAGCACAATATATGACATTGGAGACCCTGGACGGTTGAGCAGCTGAAGTATTATATCAAGCAAGAATGGAAAAAAATTTACTTTCACAACTACAACAATTAATATCTTTAATGCCCAAACGTTTACTGAATGTTGTTAAAAGGAAAGATGATGTAACACAGTGGTAATCGTGCTACTGTCCCAACTTTTTTGGAACATGTTGCAGCTGTCAAACTTAGAATAAGCATAGATATAAGATTAATAATTTAATTACATTAAATATCTTGTCTTTGTACTGTTTTAAAAAAATGTATTCAGGTAGAAATGAATCTGTTCATTTTTTCTGCTGTCCTAACTTTTTGGGGTTTCTTCATTGAGATACCATCATTTCAATTCCTTTC